CTTTATATACATTCATTCATTTAATCCCCACCACAGCCCCAGGAGGGCAAATGTCACCCAGCGGAACAACATGCATTATTTAACTTGCTTCTTGCTCTCTTTCTCCATCTTTGGCTGGGTGCATGCATGGAGTTGAATTTGCATAAGCTGAAGGTTGTGTGCTTCCGCTGTGCGGCTGTTCTGAAAGGCCAGTCCATATGCAGGAAGGCAGGGAGATGAGGCTGGAGAGGGCTCAAGGCCAAAGCCAGAATTTGCCTCCACTGCCCCAGACACGGGGCCTGAACCTTATGAGGGGGGAGATGCACCTCCCCCCCACAACATGCAGGCCAATAACACTGAGCCAGCTGAGCATCTTTCAGAGAATGCCCATGCTGGATGGAGGGGACCAGACACAAGTTGGGTGGGAATGGGGGATTGATGTGATAAAGAGACCCCCACACAGTTTTTTGTAGATGGTGGCCTCATTAGGGCTTCTGTGCCCATCATCAAGGGGGATCCAAGAAAAGGAAAAGCTTTCTAAATCTAGCTGTAGAAAGAAGACATGGTCTTGCACACAGTAGGTGCTCAGTAAATGTGTATTGGACAAATGCAAACAAGAAAGTTCTATCTGGTAAGTGGATATCATGTGGGAGTTAGAAAACAAGCAGGGGTTTTGGAGCCAGCAGGCATCTCATCTCTCCCACTTCTCTGAGCCTCGATTTCCTCATCTGTCTAATGGGGATAATAATATCCATCCACTTAGAGGGTTGTTGGGAGGTTAAAAGATAATGCAAGTAAAGTTCTTCAGACATGGTGGCCAGTCTGTAAGCAGAGTCTGTACTGAATGAGGGAGCCGGGCAAGAAGGGCTTCGGGCTGGGAGGCCCGTGAGGAGGCTCTGGGCTGGGCACGGTCAGAAAAGACTCTAGAAGAGGGGGCTTGGACTCCACTTAAATGAAGGCAGGGGTCAGGTGGGAGGAGGGAGGGCAATCCCTCTTGCTTGGGTCTGGGACCTACTCTTTGTGAGCAGTGGGAACTGAGCTGAGAGGAGACAGATCCAGGAGGCTGTGTACTAAGGAGCCATGGGAAGGTGACTGGACTGGGCGGAGAAGGAAGGAAGGCTCTAGTCTAAGGCAAAAGGAGTTCATTCGTCGTTCAGCAGACACACTGAGCACTGTGCACCTGTGTGCATGGCACGGTGCTGTTGAAGACCTACTTTGTGCCAGGTGGGTTACAGGTACCTGAGCTCAAGGTTTCAGGAGAATGGTACAAAGGGCCCAAGGGCAGGGTTCACTGAAGCTGATCCTTGGACTGGTGCTGGGCAGACTCCCCTGTGGAGTTTGCTTGAACCCAGATTCCAGGAGGAGGGGATACCATAAACATTTTTAAAATATTTAAAAAGTGAAATTTGAATTACAGTGGTGAGGTTACTGCATGTTTGGGCTTCTAGAGAAAGTTCCATGCTTCTCAGTTGTCTTTCTCGGTTCCTTTTAAAGCCCAGAGGCTGAGTTGTGACTGTGTGTTTTCACTCTGGTGTGGTCAGAGAACAAAGCAGTGCTATTATCCCTGAGTCTCTCTGGAGACATTCACCTGTGGAGAATGGTCAGGGTCACCAGAGTACCACCATTTTGATTTATCACTTACATTTGTACTTAAAGAGCATTCTACATCAACCGGGTATGTTTTCCCAGATACAATGGTATGTGGATAATATTTTAAATGGACGAGTTGAATTTCTGGGGGTCGATGAAACATTCTGAGTGAGGATGGGAAGGTTCCAATATGTTGGGGGAAGGGTCTGTTCAGCTGCAGCCTGAGTCCCACTTGGGGAATGATGGAGATCCCCAAGGAGATGACCCTGGAGGAGCAGGTAAGGGCAGGACTGAAGGCCAGGATTGGAGTGACCTAAGCGGTGAGAGTGGATGGTCATCAGGCTAAGGAGCTGAACTTTGTGGGCTGCCTCAGAAGGAGACTGCTAGGATGTGGTTTCTCAGTGGGGCCTCTGGATGCAGTGGTCAGCAATGGAGGGCTGCCCACAAGGACCAGGAACTTGGGACCCCTGGGAATAGGCTCTTTCCACAAAGAGCATCTCCAGGCGTTCTATGCTTGGCCCAGGAGGGCAGAAAAGCAGAACCCTAGACTCTAACATGGGAAATTGCCTTTGTCTTCCATTCCCACTCTCCACCCAGTGCCTAAATGCTGTCTACCGGGAACAGTGCCTCACTTGTTACGTTTAATGATGCAGCAGGAGGCATTTCTGCAAGGAGGGGTGGGAGAGAGCTTCAGTCTTAAGTCCTCAGTGAATAAGAGATTTCCCTCTCCTCTACTTTGTCTTATGTCACCACCCATGGCTGGAATTGAGCTAGAAGCCCTTTGGTTGGGCTCTCCTCACTGCAATCAGAGCAGATGGGATTTTTATGCTTCCTTAGAGAACATAACATCTGCGGTTCCAAGAGACATCCAAAAGATGTTGTGCTTTCTTTCTTGTTATGAACCAAACCCAAAGGGTCTTCTTAATAGTACAGAGGAGAGTGGTGGGGATTAGAGATAAGGGAGATCCTCTTGAGAGCAAAGCATTTGAAATTTTGACCTAAAGAGGCCCTGGAATTTTTTCCTGTGGAAGGCCTGACTCACCCACGCAAAGGTGCCAGCAGGAAGAGCATAGGCTTTGGAATCAGATAGACCAAGGTTCAAATCTTAGCTCTGTCTCTTATTAGCTGTGGGACCTTGAGTGAGATGGCTTAACCTCTCTGGTCTTCAGTTTCCTCATCTGCAAAATGGTGTGAGAACATCAGCCTTGTAGGGCTGGTGAGATAAACAAATGGAATAAAGCCCAGAAAAGCTCCTGGTGCCATCCCATGATGCAAATATTATTTCCCTTCCCCTTCTGTTCCAATGATTCCCTTTCTCCCATCTGATTGTGGATGTACCAGGAGGCAGGGGGATGGACAAATCCATTTGATGCTTATTTATTGATCACTTACTATGCATTAGTCACAACAGATTTGGAACAAACAGACCTCATCTTTCCCTCATGGGGTTTTCTGTCTGATGAAGGAAACAGACCAATTCACAAAAAAGCAAGCCTTTAATTACAAACTGTGACTGTTACAGTGAAGGAATTGAAGTGTCTCTGGGGTGTGGGAGAGCTGTTCTGTTTAGGTAGGTGAGCAGGGAGACCTCCCTGGGGAGGAGGCCAGCCATGCAGGGAAGAGGGGAAGCAGTCCAGGCAGAGAGAACAGCACGTGCAATGGCCCTGAGGCTAGAGCGAGTGTGGCCCGTGGCAAGCACTGAAGGGAGGTCCATGCAGCCAGTCAGGAGCTGAAGTTGGGCTTTGATAAGTTAAGGTCAAGAATTTGGATTTGAATTTTGTTTTGAGTACAATGAGAAACTTTTAAGTACTCAAGTGATATGATCCAATTTATTTAAATATTTCTGGCCCCTGATCCTAGGGAAATTCAGAATTTTTCTCTGCTCAGACTCCTCTTCCACAGCCGCATGTGGGCAGCCCAGGCCTATCTTGACGCTGTTCCCCACCCCTCTCTTGCAGGCCCAGGCAGAGCAGGGAGAGAGAGTCCAGGCTGGGCCCTCATAGAGATGAGCTTTTGGAGGTACCCATTTCTGTGGTGTGTGTAAAAGCCCGGGCTACCACCTAAGATTCAGTACCACCCGCTGTAGCTGATGCTTCTGTCCCCCATCTTCTGGCTAGCTGGGAGCCCCTGGCCTGGAGGAGAGGGGCAGTGAAGTAAGAGAAAGCAGCAGTACCCTTCTTGGAGCAGGTGGGATATAAACTTCTGTAGCTGCTGAAGCCCAACTGTGAGTCAGTGAGTGCAGGGCCAGCCTCCTAGGTTATTCTCATCTTTAATGAAATGCTCAGCCTAATTCTAGAGGGACGGGGGTACAGCTAGGTGGAGACAAGAAATCTGTATTCTGTACCCCTCCTGTTCAGCCCAGAAATCCCAAGGGCTGGGCCCAGTACGTCCTCTCTGTGTTGGGACAGACAGATTTCCCCCAACCTTCCAGAGTCCTTAAGATACCCATAGAAAAAGGCAAAGATGCCCTGGCCCTCCTCTGAGGACCAATCAAGTGGGAGCTTCAGCTTCCAGCAGCAGCTTCTCCCTCTGTGGGCTGAGGCCCTGGACCATGCTGTTGGGCCTGGAGGCTGGAGGAGGGAGGGACCCAAAGACCCCTCGAGCCTCCACCCTGCCCTCTTATTCAGTCCTGGGCTGAAGAGAGAGCTAAGGATGTAGTGCACAGAGATTCACACTGAGCTGTCCCAGGGAGTGGAATCTGGGGCTCCTGGCCCCCAGGGATTGAGGTGTTAATGAAACAGCTCTTGACCCTGACCTTGGACTCCCAGCCATTGACGTCAGTGAAGTTGAAATAATGTAACCCGATTCTCCCCTTGGGGTGGCGGGGGAGGCATACAGGGGCCTGGGAAGGGGAAGGAGTGACCGGAAGTCAGGGCAGACCCAGCTTAGGCCAGGACTGGACAAGGAAGAATTCAGTGGTAGGGTGCTCCCGGTCGGTGGGATGTGCTGTATGAGCGAGTGGCCGAAATCCTTTCTGAAAGCAGTTATCTGGCACTACAGCAATCGTCAGGTAAGCCAGTGGGCTTCATCCAGAGCGGGGAGCTGACATTGGTGTTGCCACACTGGACACAGGTGACATAGCCATGGAGGTGATCGGCAGCACGGCTGCCATGGGGGTGCATTGCTGTCACATGGGGGTTCACATGTATGATATTCGTGTGCATCCCTGTGTGCACTCGCATCACTCCACCTGGGGACGAGGCTCAGCCTGACCACATCGGATGCTTAGAGGTACTCCTGGGGCCACATCGGGGTGGTCTGCACAGTCTGATGTGTTGGAGTCAGGGGCCCACCCTGGTTCTGGCTTCCTTCCTCTTCTCACAACCCTGAAGAGATGTGGAGGAGGTCCCCCAGCAGGGGCCTCCCCTTCCCTGGGATCTGCTATCGGGGTGCTGGGCCTGGAGTTGTAATTCTGCCTTTGGGTTTTCCAGGTGGATTTTCTGATTGAAAATGATGCAGAAAAGGACTATCTCTACGATGTGTTGCGGATGTACCACCAGTAAGTGTACTGGGTCCAGCTCCTGTGGGCCACCCCGGGTACCTCTGTCTTCAGGGAAACCTGGGATGGATTGTTCTGAGACAGGAGGACCTCCCCCTCTTATCCTGGGGGGCTCAGGGAGGCTGATGCTCGGTGTTCCTGGGAATCAAATAGACACGCCACTCACTTGTCTCAGCAAATATTTGCACAAATACACTGTGTATGGCCCTGTGCTAGGGGATAGGGATACACGTATAAGCAAGACAGACTGGTTGCTGCCATCTAGTTGCTTACAATCTGTTGGGGGAGGCTGTCAGGTAGCCAGATAGGTTCAACAGAGTGTGATTGCTAGGATAGGACAGGAAATGCCAGCTGGTCCCAGTGCCTGCCTCAGATGTCTGTTATCGCTCACCCGCTTTTTGATTCATTCAGCAACGTTTATAAGCTCCTGCCACTGGCCGGGCACCATGCAGAATGTGGAAATGAATATCTACTTCCTTTCCTCAACTAACTTGTGGCTTAGTTGGGGGAGATGGACAGACACTAGCAACACAAGGAACTCTAATACAAGTTCCAGTAAAATAACTGCTGAGTAGAGGTAAAAGCAGGAA